AAAGAGAAACAAATCAAATTGACGGATCAAGTCCTCACAACAACTCAATAAGAAACACAATTATAAAGCATGATTATACCATTGCAGAACAGAATGATCTTATAAAATCTTTGCAAGAAAGAGTAAACCAACTCCAAGATAATAATATTCAAGAAAATTTTTCAATAAAATCCGCATCAAAAAAGAAAGGCATTCACACAAAATTAATAACTACTGGATATCCAAGACAATCTACCGATAATTCTCCTACAACACCAAGTCCAACTATACCGCCACCAAGAACACCAACTACTCCGAGAAATATACCAAATTCCAACTCTGATCTTTCTGCTGAATTCCAAAAGCTTCTCAAAAAAGCATCAGTTATTGAAAATGAAACTTCGGAAAGTAGAAAACATGTAGAATCGTTAGAATCAAATGTAGCTGATAAGGAAGCAAACCTTGCAATAGCTAAAGATCAGCTGTCAATCCTTCAAAAAGAAAAACAAGATTATATGGAGTTAATTAAGAGTTTGAGTGAGCAACTGAATGAAGCTCAAGCGCAAATTGAAAACGCGAAGTATAGCGTTCAAGAAGAACATAAAGTTATGGAAAATATTTTGGACGAAGAGAGAAAGGCTAAAGTTAAAGCAGAGAAAGCAAGACAGGCACTTGAAACTCAAATGGAACAAATTATGAATAAGAAAAGAAGGTTTATGTGTTTTTAAACCATCAACATTTCATTTTTTTAAAATATTATATTATTATAATTTTTTATATCTATTTACAATATAAATGTTATTTTTGTTATATTTATTTTATTTATCTGGCTATATCTATTATTATACATATCAAAGCTGTTTAATTTCCTTGTAGAGATTAGTGAGATATATTATTATGATCTGGTATTGTTTAATATTATATCTATTTTAATAAGTAATTGTATTATGATTATAAATGGTTTATAAAACAAAATTGGTGTTTTAATAATAATTTTAAAAGATAAATATATATTCAATATCAAATTTGTTATCAATAAAAATATTTTTACATAAAAACTTTTAATCAAATTTATAATACAGTTAGCTCCTTTATAGTGATTATTTTTCACTTTGCAGACTGTGCACAACACGCTGGGGTATCCAGTGTACTATGTAGATCAAGACTATATATAGTCCTATATGAAAATCGAATAGTAAAAATTTTTCGTG